CTGTGAGTGACCTTTTCAGTATAGATCTCTAGACACAGACTAGAAATGCTTCCCAATTTGACAACTGATAATTGTTCTCCGAATGTGTTTTTTCAGCCAGTTGGGCATCCGACTTAAATTGATTTAGTCAGTTGATTCAATCACAGTTTGTTTCTAATGACATCATGTGGGACTATATCAGTAACTTCACTCAAGACAAAGTATCTAATTTCTCCTCTATTAACCCTGAAAAAATGAAGAACATCAGATTGGATTGACACAATTTCTTCTTGATAAATAGGTGCTCTAGCTGCTTTTATCACCTTATTGCCTCTAAATTCTTGTAATTTGGTTGTGTAATAATTTCTTCCAGCATCTCTGCAGGCATCAGAATTAGGTGAGCTGGTCTATAATTCCCTGGAACCTCCCTTTCTGTATCTTATCCTTAGAACCTCTTTTTTCCTATATCAAAATTAGTATTATTATTTGCCTTTCTTAAGTACTGCAGGATCTTTTTCACAGTTTAAAATCTTGATCTTAAATCCCAGTAGAGCCTTCATAATTAAACACTCAGATTATAACATTATCATCATCTGGATTCTGATTTCTGCCTCACTGTGGCTGTCAGCCAAATGTCATAATGCATACAATTACCAGATCTGCTTCTTAGCTTACTGCTAACAAAGGAAGCACAAATAATTCATAGGTAGAAGCACCAGTTCTTTGATGTGACTGAACTATGATCCATTCAGCACCTGAAGGGAGGCAGGCTGAAGATCAGGTAGCCTCATTAAGGGGAAAAAGAAAGAAGAGGAGGAAGAGGAGGATGCAGGAGACATATCCTCTGCGCCAGAGTCCACGGCAGCAGCCCTGCTGCCCCATGCTGGGTCGTGTGACCTCATCTGAGCCAGGTCCCTCAGCTCCCACCCTCCCGCCATGGTGCTACGAAAGAGCAGATTCCTTGCATTGCAGCTGGAGAGGGAAAGACGAGAGAAAATTCAGATAAAATAATGCCTCTAATTACAAGTTAGCATTTTTTAAGAGGTTAAGGGAAATTCCTGGTGAGATAGTTCCATCTGGTTTACAGTCCCTTTGTGCTGGGGCAGTTCAAAGAGGTTATAGTGTAAATGAGAACTGAGGATAGCATTTATTTATAGTTTGATAGCCTCATAAAAGCTGTAGAGCTGAGCTCACAGCAGTGTACTTGTTTGTTTTAAACTGCTCATGCAGCACCCTACTGCCTTGCAGGATGTATGCTGTAGCTCCTGCATAAAATTATGTATGATTCTTTATAAGGTTCATGACACAAGGCAAAAAATGTGAAACTACACTAACAAAACAGATAGTATAAAATAAAAGTAGCAGCCAGAACTGCAGAAAAATAAACGGCACGCCTCTGAAATAAAGTAACATCAAGAAGATTTGCACCTGAATCCATTTTTCACAATAGAAGAAAAAAAATATCCCAAAACTCTGAATAAGCAATAACTCTGATTTCAGCTCCTGGTGACGTTACAAAGGAGCCAAGCCTCGCACTGAAGGTTTTATAATGACAACCCAGCCTCTGGCACAATCTCAGTATAGTGTCCCACTGCAAATTATATTTGTATCACATTTATCCTTTCTTTTAATATCAATGTACCATCTTCTTCCTCTGTAACCCAGAGGGAAAGCAAAGCAGCACTGTTTCATTATTAGCCTTTAATAGTCTTTCCAGTGATATAAGGGAGAATATTAATATCCTTCCAATGACCTCACCTAAACACTGCTAAAAGCCAGGAAGGGAGTGACAAGTTTGTAGCTAATGTATGGGGATGAAATCCTGAAGTTAATGAAAGGATTTCTCCCCTAGGTTTCAATCCTGGTTTCTTTTTAACCTTTTAGCTCCAGTTTCCTCAGCTGCAGAATGGGGAAAGTAGACTTACATAAAAGTTGACAGCATGATTTTATTGAGTAGAGCTCAGTAAGGAGCCTGGAGTGCTTTCAAAGTAAGGAGACTAAGGAGGTGCATTCTTATGAGGAAAGGCAAATACTGTCTTCTTAAAAGCTTAAGGTAATCAAGCTCTGCCTATAGCTGTGGCCCTATATTTATTGACTGTGGAAGCAGTGTTGCTCTGCAAAACTAAATAAGGTGGGTAAAGAAGAGGTTGAAGGGGTACAGAATGGAGACTCGCTGCACTGCTAAGCCCAGGGCTGAGGTGAGGGTTGGGTATAGACCAGGTCCAGGAAAAAGGAGGCCACTGTCTTTCATTTGCAGGCCACATGTTACTCTTGATGCTCCTGGGGAGGAGGCCTGGAGCACTGCTCCTTTGCAGCAGTCCTGCACTGGCTGTGTGGGCAGTAGGGGAGGAGATCACGCCACACTAAGTGCAGATGGACGCTGCCCTCCATCATCCAAATGATGGGTGTAGGATTTGCCCCTGTGGCTTTTAATGACTCCACAAGATGATTGGTGCCTAAAACAGTATATAAACAGTGTAAGTTACGTTGTGCCTTAAGATTCTTACTGTTAATGTCTTACTGAAGAAATCAAGCAGAATATGACTACGAGCATATTGTGCCAAATATCCTAATATCGTTAAATGAACACACAGAATTCACAAATCTGCCAAGCAGTGTAATCAAAGTGTTGCTTTGGAGAAAGCTAAATTAACAGTGAAAGGACGCTTAAAGGTGACCAGCAAAGGAAGTGAAATGGTAACTCTGTTCTACATGCTGCTTCTTCCTGGTATGTATAGAAGTCTGGAAAGGACGACGATGATTAATCATCTCACTTGTTTTTCACATTAGAAATGCATATTTTGTCCATCATGGAAAAGATGGAGGATGTGTGAAATTATGACATCATAAAAAAGAAAGGGAAGAAGTTGATCGGTTCGGAGGCAGAAGTATGTTTAATCAGATTGTCTTAGATGATTTTGGTCTTGTTTGTATTTATTAACATTGACACCAAGTTGGAGAACGAACAACCTGATAAAACCCTACAGCTTGTCTGCTCGAGATATGTGTGCTTATAAGCTTATAATGTACTACCCTTGAAATATAATGTAGTTCCTTCATCAAAATGCAGGGAAGATGAAACATTACAAGGTAATAAAATAGCAGGAGGCAAAAAAAATAAACTGGCCACCTAGTTATCATAAAGAATTTGAAAAATACAGAAAAGGACAATTTATGTTTCAAAAAAGGCTTCTGCTGACTATAAGCACTGATTGGCAGTTGATGCAGGATTAAGACCTAAGTCTTCTCAAATGCAGCACTTCATTCCAGTGTAGCTAGCAAAAAACTGTTCTGCATTTTGGAAATACCATCACTTTATTTTTGTACTGAACTTACTGCCTTTGATTGATTTTAAAAAGTACCATAAGAAGAGTTCAGAGTTTGGCCCACATTCAGACTATGAAGTTAATGTTTTGTCTTCCAAATCCATTTTTACACTCTGGTAATAACCCAGATTCATTTCTCAGATGTGTTGCTTCTAGTTCCTGATTTGGAATGTGGAAAGAAATGATAAAATCAAGGAAATGCTAGTCTTTAAGCATGCCTAGCTTTTAATTTAGCTCTCAAAGTGAAGAATCCATGTGATTTACTAAAACAGAATGATGACTACTTCCAAAAACAACTGACCCGCTAAAAGAGTAGGTCTGAGATTGGTGCTATAGCGGTAGAATTCCTTTTCACCTGGGAGATAACCATTAATATTTTAAAATTTTCAGTCTATTTAGATCCGTAGAGAGATCTGGACTGTTTGTGAAAACGCCCTTAGGTAGATTTCAAAGAATAGCATATGCTCATTTTTTTTTATGTTGATGCGTATTTCTTTAATGAAACCAAGGCTGCTCTTTGCGGTTTCAGGTCTGGAGAAAAACAGTTCAGTTTGTCATACAAGACCCTGATCCTGCAAGTATTTAAGCTGGTGAGGAGTGTTACTCATTTGAATAGTCCCTTTAAGCAACTATATCACGTTTAAAAGGTGGTGGTGGGGAGGTGGGAGGGAAGCAAATGGCAAAATAAAATTCAAATTCTGGACAATGTATCTTTTCCTGTGATTTTTCTCACATCTTAAAAAAGCCAAGGCAGGCAAAAGTCTGTAATAATGGATTAATGCTGCACTGAGCCTGCACATACTATTTCTATCAGATCACAGAATTTGTAACCCAAACCTGAGTCTGAAAACTAGCCTACGCCAACTGTAAGCAAAACGGAATACTTCCCAATACCTACACTGAAATACTTGCAAAAGGTCAACAGGCAACACAAATGCTGAAAAACCAATGATACCTATACAATTATTTCAGCTCTAGTACTCTGAAGTGATCTATTAGTAATAAATAAAATACACAGATGATTTTTTTAACCCATCAACATAGAACAAAACTGGACAGATTGATGAGTGAGCCCACTTAAAGAATTACCTTTCAATGAGACAGGAACACACACTCTGATTTTTTAGAAGGGTAGAAAATGCACACGTGACATAAACAGAGTTTAGCTGAGTAAGGCCTGAAGATATGTCCTAACTGGGATTTATTTTTAATAAGATATTCACTAAATAATTCCATTGAAATTTTGAACTATACATTGCAATCTAAGAACTTGGCTGCATATTCAAGAAGATTTAAAAAAAAAAAAACCTCATACTTGCAATCAGAATATTGAAATACGTATCAATTCCAGATTCAAAATGAGAACTATCCTTTATTTGTTTAAGTACCAAAGCTGGAGTGAAAAAACACATACGGTTTCTAAAGTTGGAAGCAAGCTAAGTTGGAGAAGGAAATGGTTACATGTGGTATGCTATTACTGATTTATATATCAACCTATAGAATGACTATCTTCAGATACTAACAGCAAAATTAATGTGCTCAAGAATTTGTTCTTATTAGACAATGTTATGCTTCTTCTTCTAGAAACATTCATGGAGACCTTATCATTTGAAAGTAACGTAACATGCAAACAGTCCTTCAAAAAGTTAGATGCATTCTGAGGAGATTTTAAAATAGAAAGTTTGGAAATCAGTCATGGATCGTAAGACTGAGGAGAAAAGAAAGCAGCACCATAGCTTGACTTTACTGGAACAAGTAAAAAGAATGAAAGAATCAGCAGAGATAATTGATGTTGTTCTAGTTGCAGAAGGTGAGAAATTCCCTTGCCATAAAGTGGTACTGGCTGCCTTCAGTCCGTATTTCAAAGCCATGTTTACCTGTGGCTTGGTTGAATGCACCCAAAGAGAAGTAATGTTGTATGACATCTCTGCAGAGAGTGTGTCTGTAATACTCAATTACATGTACAGTGCAGATTTGCACCTCACTAATCAGAATGTGCAGACTGTTGCTGTTGCTGCATATTTCATGCAGATGGAAGATGTCTTCAATATATGTCAGAAGTACATGATGGACCATATGGATGCTTCCAATTGTGTGGGGATTTACTACTTTGCAAAGCACATTGGAGCAGAAGATTTATCTGATCAAGCAGGGAAATACTTATATCAGCATTTTACTGAGGTGAGCTTACAGGAAGAAATATTAGAGATTGAAGTCCAGCAGCTGTTGACTCTTATAAAATCAGATGATCTGAATGTTTCCAGGGAGGAGAGCATTCTGGACCTCGTCATTAGATGGGTTAATCACAGCAGAAAGTCGCGTGTGGTGCACCTTATTGAGCTCCTGAAGCAAGTGAGACTGGTACTTGTGAGCCCTTCTTTTTTAGTGGAAGCCCGGAAAAGGAACACAATGATCCTGTGCAATTCAGAATGCAATGACATGTTTGAGGAGGCATTAGAAACCATCAAGATATCCAGACACCCTTCTCTCAGTCTGCGATACGGCATGGAGACTACCGATCTTTTACTCTGCATCGGCAACAATTCTCTGGGCATTAGATCAAGACATGGCAGCTATGCAGATGCCAGTTTCTGTTATGCTCCTGCAACACGGAAGACTTACTTCATTTCCTCTCCAAAGTATGGAGAGGGTTTAGGTTGTGTTTGCACTGGTGTTGTCACTGAGAATAACGATATTATTGTGGCAGGAGAGGCAAGTGCTGTCAAAATGTCTAGACAAAAGACCAGGAACATCGAAATTTATAGGTGCGTACCTTCTGTCAGAAAATCCCTAATTGTTTATAAATTTTTAGCCCGCATAATGTTTCTGGGGACAAGAAAAGACCATTAGACAAAGCATGCTTTCCCTAAAAGTATGCGTAGGGATTTCAATTACTCAAATCAGTTTGTCACACCTTATCTTCACTGCACAATGAATTACATGCCTACAACCAAATCTTGATGCCTTTTCTCATGAAAGAGTATTTACTGTGATGACATCCCTGTGTAAATAAGCTTGATTAGATACTAGATCATCATATGTAGCCTTTGTATTCTCTTAACTTAAATCTCAACATTTTGCTAGGGTGTTCTTTTCTAGGTCATTAGCGGGGGAAGGAGTCAAGGGGATCATCTGAGAAGCCTAGTAAGACAAGGATAACACTCTTGTATAAAATTGAAATGTTGATTGCCATGTTGCCTCAGAGATAAAAAGAAAATGACCGATAATTTAAAACCTTCATTCTGTTTTTATTCATGTCTTTTTCAGATGAACCCATTTTAAAGGCATGTGAGCTTTTATGGATTTAAGACTAAGTAAAAAAGAGAAGACAGCATTTTCAAATACAGGTGCCTAAATTTAATGAAGTAAATCCATATTGAGACCGATGAAGTGGCCTTATTTTCAGCAGTGCTGAGCTCTTCCACTAACTTCAGTGGAAACCGGGAATGAACAGCACATGCAGAAATAAGGGAGCCCTATGTTAATTAGGGTCCAATATCTTCCAAAGGGTGCCAGAAGCTAGGCTCCTTAATTCTAAAAATGCTTGATCTTGGAAACATTGGAAACAATTTTATAACTTCTCTGTGAGGAAGAAAGCTCCTCTTGCCATTGTATCATTGTCTGAATAAACAATGAGGATGAAGGGGGTAACGCTTGAAAACAAGTTGATATGATGTCAGTGAATCAGGTCATTCACAGCTTTGGATTTTCCTACAGATACCACCAGCAAGGAAACCAGTGTTGGCACAGCCTGTGCACCGCTCAGTTCCGTGAACTCTATGCACTGGGCACTATCCATAATGATCTCTATGTAATAGGAGGGCAAATGAAAATGAAAAATCAGTATCTGGTCACAAACTGTGTGGAGAAGTATTCCATGGAGCAAGATACCTGGAGAAGCATGGCACCTCTTCCATTACCATTAGCCTGCCACGTGGTGGTAACAGTGAAGAATAAGCTCTACGTGATGGGTGGCTGGACACCACAGGTTAATAAAAGTGCTAGTTGTTTTGCTTTGTTTGTTTACAAGCAATCAGCTATGCTTGGTTTATATGACGCATAATGTTATGGTGCTTCTTGCATAGGAAAAGTACATCTGTGACAAGAGAAGAATAAATTGCTCTCATTCCTCTGACATCCTTCATAGGAAAACCAAATAGGGTAAAGGGGAATAAAATCTGTATTATACCATCTTCACTGTAAAAGCCAAATTCTAGAAGGGCAATTCTTTCATAGAGACTTTCACTGTAAGTAAGAATCTAAAATGTATTTCTCGTGTCAATATGAGTTCCATTTTAAACAGCTACTGGGTTAAATACGGACAACCCGATTTTTGCAAAAACCTGAATTGAAATAATTGGGGTGATATTTGGTACTTATTTGGCACTTTTGTGTCATCATAGGCTGGGAAATTGGATTAACTTCAGCCTTTCCTCAAATGTTGTCCTCTTAATTTTTCTAGGTATCAGTAAATAATGGTCTTTAAATCACATACAGACCTTTAACAGAGCCTCGTATTCGAAAAGTACGCACAGAGGTGAATTTCAGGACCAGAATCGTATCTGACATTCGAAGTTCATCTCAATCTCTCAGGCGACCTTTTTGGTTATCTAATGTTCTTTTATTTGATTTCTATTATGCTTTATTTTTAATGACAAGTCAAAGCATTATTTGGAGAACATATACTCCATTAATCCATGTATTTGTTTCAGTTGCATTGCTTGGCCATGTAAAGTATTGATGGAAATTTTCAGCAGGGCCACAAATACCATTTTCAATAGTACAAACAATATACAGAATAATGCTACAAGATAGATGAATATTAGAAACAGTGCTTGCCCTCTTTAGTATGTCCCAATGTGAAAGATCTTTTTAAGAGTGTAGCCCACTTTATTTACTGCCTGGTGCAGTTTAATTTTGGTCATTCAAGTTAGGGCCCCACATCTAGCTGACAAAGATGTAGGGCAAGCAAGATTTCTACATCTTTGGATATTTTGAGCACAGAAGTCCCCAAAAGGAATCAACAGAAAGATCAGAGAGTACTTCTGATACTAAAACAACTGAGCAAAGATACCTCTCTATTTTAGGAATTAAAATATGAGAACATCCTTAATGTAGAAACAGTCTGTCTGTAAAAAGCTTGAGCTGAAAGATTTGTTATATAAGAAAGACGGATTTTAAGTTAGAGAACTAGCTTTGTCTTGCTTAATAGTTCTGCAGAACAGATTGTAAGGGGGGAAAGTGGCTTGGAAACACTAGTGGAGACTATTGAGCCAGGAATCGTTTAAAAAAAATACAGGCACCTGGAAAACACATAAAGCTGAAACCTGCCCATCAGTACTACCTGTAACAATACATGAGAGTCTGGGTTTATATATAAAATGCCTTGAGATGAGCAGATCAATACTAATTGACTAAAAACTATAGCTCTGTAACATTAGGGCATACCTGAACATATCAGAACAAATTAGCTAAATCACTCAAAAAAAGCACTTTAAGACCAACACTGCAGAGGGTGCTGGATTCTGCTAGTATCACATATCTCCTCGCATTCACCTTTTAGATGCTGCAGTTGTATTTGTGCGACTGCCACAGCTGCACTATGAAAGCATATTGGTTTGTCAGGTCAGGAGTTGTCTTTATATTCAAGCAGCACTGAATGTTCTGTCAATCCTTAACAAATACTAATGATGCAGCATTGAGAGAGTGCTGTAAATGTATGTGTCCATTCACAGGACACAGATAAATACATGTTCCCTTCCCACTCAGACTTTGCAATTGAAATAAGACAAGACAAAGTCAAGCCAGGACATAAAATGACAGCTTAGGAGGGCAAGGACTTGACTCACTGCAGCGCTGCTCCAGTTCTGCATTGGTCTATCTTCACTGATGCCAGTAGAGTTAAAAACCCTATCAAATCAAGGCCTGGTAACTAGGGGCTCTTAAAATGGAAGGAAGCATTTGGGGAGGGCTGAAAGGAAGGTTTCAGATCCCTGAGACAGACAGAAGGGACACCGTTATTTTTTCCATATATGAAGAACACAGTGTGCACTCTGAGTTGGTTCACGTTAAAGTTACCACAAAAATGAGGTAGGATGTGAATTTACAGCATGTCAAATGGTGTCTGCTCATAAGCATACGCTTACCCTGTGGTAAAAATGACACAGCTTACCCCTTTTCAGTGAATACTGAATTTCAGTGTCACACTTGCAGAGAAAGGGCATGCCCATGGGCACTTACAGGGGAGTAACCAAGGGACTATGTATTTACTTTTTAGTTTTCCTCCTACTATCTTGTCCATCACATCAGTGTTGGAAAGGTTTTTTGGGGAAGGAAAATAACAAGCAGAGCAAGAACACATACTGCAACTTCACAAGTAAGCGAAGTAGTTCTTTTCACTATCTCTGCATGAAATCGTTCATCTTGAGATATTTCAGAGCCCTCCCCCACAGGTTACTGCTTACATTCAAAGTTACCATACCCAGAAAACACAATCTTAGTTCCCTGTGCTATGCCAGAGAGGGAGAAAAAGGGGAAGAAGATTACAAAGAACAGGAGGAGTAGGAGTGAGTATAAAAAGTATATTATGGTAGCAACGATACAGCACGGGGTTAGGAGTTTATCATTAAAACTATCAAAGGATAAGATACAGCAGTTGAACAACTTTACAGTTTAGGTTGACTAAATAAACGTGCGTGCTAGGTGAGAGTAAGTTACGTATATAAACAGGCCAGCTAAAGTACTTCACTGAGACTCGTGGTACAGTCTGAATAACAACACAAATAAGATTTTAACCTTC